AGGGTGTCCTGGTGTTCTCAACGGGCTCTGAAGTGCGCGTGAAGATCGGATTGTTCATCCTCCACCTCTTCTGTCTCCTCTTCCTTGTCGTCGTGTTCGCCGTCGTCCCCCTCCTCCATTTCCTCCAGCACCACGCGCAGATGCTTCTCTTCCTGAGGGGAGAGGTGGGGGCCGGGGCCAACAGAGGGGGTCGCGAGACGAGCGAGGGCGCGCGGAGCGCGATCGAGGCAGCTGGGAGAACGAGCGAGGCTGGGGTGCACGTTTCCCCCGGGGCCGTAGGCGACCCGAGGAGGAGGAGGAGGAGGAGGAGGAGGAGGAGGAGGAGGAGGAGGAGGAGGAGGAGGAGGAGGAGGAGGAGGGAGGAGGAAGAGGAGAAGGAGAGAGGAGGAGGACGGGTCGCCTAAGCCCTTCGGAGAAACCCTCCAGGCTGGGGTTGTCAGGCGGCCACGAAAAATTGGCAGGCCAGTGCAGGCTACGCCCAAGAGCGACGCCGAGCAGGAGTGACCTCGGGTGCGCAGCATCTGGGGGCCGCTGGGGGGCCAAAGCCAAGCGCGCGAGCCAGTGCTGGGGGGGGGGCCCTGTGGCACTAAAAGTCGCTCTGGCGAAGACTCCTGCGCGTAGTCGACAATGGTTGATCGTATCGATCCCCGCCCGCCCGGAGCCCAGGCATTACTTCTTCTTGTCGAACATGGCGGCCTGCAGCCTCGCCGCAGCCTTCTTCACGTCGCCCGTCGCGCTGAGCTTGTCCTTCTTGCTGCCCGCCTTCTCGAGCTTCGCGGTGGCCTCCTCCATCTCCTTCTTGGCGGCCTCCGCGTCGATCTTGTCCACGGTCTCGAAGTCGTTCACCAGGATGGAGAGCGAGTTCGAGTCCACGGAGGCGAAGCCGCCCATGATGACCAGCGGCATCCACTTGCCGTCCTGCTTGTAGCGGATCACGCCGGTGTCCAGGGCGGTCATCATGGGGGCGTGGTTGGCGAGGACGCCCAGCTGGCCGCTGGCGCTGGGCAGCACGACCTCGCTCACGGCCAGGCTGAGGCCCTCGCCCTCGGGGGACTGGAGCCTCATGCTGATCCTGTCCGCCGTGGCCGCCTCGCCCTTCTCGGCGAAGCGGGCGACCGGGCTGCGGAGGGCCTTGGCCGGCCGCGCCGGGGAGCCCACGAAGGCGGTCAGGTGGCGGACCAGCAGGGCCGCCGCCGCGGCCGCCGCCAGCCGGAGCGCGGCCTGTGACTTCGCCATGGGCTTGCAAGCAGGCGGTCGAGGGCACCAGCTGGAGGCCGCTTGAGCCCAAATGGCTGCGGGGGCAGGGGGGCGGGTCGGGGCCGAGGCGCACGCGCGGGGGGGGCAAGATCTCGGCTCTCGTTGGCGGCGGCGTCCGAGGAGGCGAGAGCTGGGAACACACGGGGCATCCGGGGATGGTGCTTCTCGCAGTGTGCGGCCCCGGAGGTCTTGGACCCTTCCCCAGGGGTAGGTCCTCTCTCCCAGGGGAAGTTTCTCGCCAGAGGCTCTGTCCCTCGCTCCGCAGTCTGCCTGGGGGTTCAGCTCGAATCCGCCACGGACGAGGGCGCTACTGAGCTGCACCCAGCGTTTGAGACAAGTCCTAGTCAAAGAGTGTCCTCGGAGATCTGAGACTACGGCTTCCACCCTCCCAGGGGACTCAACTTAGATCTGACCGAGATCGGCTCGCGCCATCGACAGCCCAGCTCTCCGAGCGTGGCTGCTCCCCCGTGGGGGCGGCCTCCAGCATCCCGAGGGTGTGGGGCCCGACGGACGTCTTCGCCAGCGCACAGGCGCAGGGGAAGTGAACGCCCTCCTGCAGTGGACGCCTACGGTACGGCAGGTCCGTGCCGTGTCGACCCTGGCGTTGGTTCCTGACACCGCGCTGGATCGTTCAACCTTGAACGATCCGCCGTCTCCGCAACGTCCGATCGTTCAACATCGACCGATTCTGGGCCGCCGTCGGCGTTCAACGTTGAACGTCGGCGGCGGGGTCGCCGCCGGTCGACACGACGCGAACCTACCGTAAGAAATATTGCTAGCAGAGATAGTAGGGAGCGTTCTTCGCCGATACCTTGCAGGACTCGAGGTGCCCCGAGGGCTCCTGGGGGCCCCCAAAAATCAACGGGGGATGCCAAACTTCAGCGTGGCACCTGCTGACAAGCCAGTGTGTGATTCGATCGCTGCGCTCGTTCCGCCGGCGGCCCATTTTTGGGCACCTGCTGCGTCGACTGGCCAGGTGGTCGCTGGCGGTGTTGAGCTGCAGGGGCGTCGGCTCTTTTCTGAGGCGTTGCGTGGGGCATGATGCTGGGGTGATTCGTCTGGATTTCTTGGGAGTTGTCCGGGGAATCGGTCGCTTTTCGCGGGGCGGCTAGTCGTGTGGTGCTTTGTTGGGCTTCGTGTGCCTTCGTGAGGGTTTGCTGGTCGTGGATGCTCACTCTGGGGCTTGTCGATGGGGCGCAGGGGACATTTGAAGCGGCGGTGTTGGGGTCTCCTGGCAGGTGTCGCGGAAGCCTTTTGGAGGCAGTTTTGAAGCTTCTTGAGGCCTCGTCAGGGCCGTGTGGGTGCCCTGGGGGTCTGATTTTGGGCCTCTCGGGGGCTTCTTGGGACTTCAGGGTGCTTCTTGGGAGCCTGCTGGCGGTCTCGGAGGGGCCCCTGGGGTCGGAAAGTTTCAAATGTCATGTCGAGTTCCCTCTCTGCGGGCGTCTTGGACCCTCTTGGAGCCCTCTTGGGCCGTCTTGGAGCCCTCTTGGGCCCTCTTGGGCGCATCTTGGGGGCATGTTGGGCCATCTTGGGGCGATCTTGGGGGGCTCTTGGGCAGTCTTGGACGCTGTGAACCTCCGAACGTCGTCTATGCCAGAAGTGTACGTTTTCCTTCGGAAATGGGGCGATCTTTGCTTGTTGGGGCCCTCTGGGAGGGCCTCTTGAGGCTCTCTTGGAGCTTCTCGGCGGCGTCTAGGGCCGTCTGGAGACCAGCATGGGCGTCTTGGAGCAATCTTTCGGCGACTCGGGGCCCCTTGGACCGTCTCGGGGGCATCTCCGAGCCTTCTTGGCGCGTTCCTGGAGCGCCCTGGGAGGCCTGGAAGGCAGCGCCGAGGGGGAAAACCATCCCTGAGCCGCACTGGCCGGGACCTGCTCGGGGTACTGTTCGTCCAGTCCAGGAGCCCCCAGAAGCCGCCCCGCGCGCGCGAACCAGAAATATATATATATATATATATATATATATATATATATATATGTTGTTAACCAGTTACCGGAGATCTTAGCACGCTTCTGGCCCGGTGGTGGGCTGGCGAATCTGGCGGCCCTGCTGTGCCCCGCTCGCAGGCAACGCCGGCGCGGCCTCGATCCTCATCGATCACTCGTCGATCCTCATCGATCCTCGATCCCACTTCATCCTCATTGATCCCCGATCCTCATCGATCCCTCCTCGATCCCTCCTCGATCCCTCCTCGATCCCTCCTCGATCACGTCTCGACCATTCCTCGATCTCTGCCAGAGCCCACGGTGGATCCGCAGGCCAAGTCATCGCAGTCAAGCAAACGCAGTTCCTGCAGTCGTGCTCTGCGAGCCATGCGCTGTGTCATCACAGAGATGTTGCTCGCAGTGCAGCGAAGTGTGTGCGGGCGGGGGGTACGAAACATCGTGCGTCCTCACGCGGCATCTGACGCCCTGGCAAAGTCAGAGCCCTCTTCGTTTATGCGTGAACTGGAACAGGCTTCGTTCACGTCGAGGTTGCTTTGCCCACTCCCGCAGAAAGCCCCAAACGCGTCATTCCAGATAATTGTACTGGGGATGGCGATGGAGGGGTGGTGGGGGGGGGCGATCGGGGCAAGAAAAGATGAGGACAGGAGGAAAAAAAGGGGAAGAGGGAGAAGCAGGACAAATACATGGGGGAGGTGTTGAGAAAGAGGAGAAGGACACGGAGTAGGAGCACAAGGTGGACGAGGAGACATTGGGAGGAGGTTGAGGTGGAATGGGAGCAAGGGTGGAAGGTGGAATAAGTAGGAAGAGGATGACAATAAAAAGGAGCAGAAGGAAGGGCTGGGGAGGGGCAGTAGGGAGGTGGAGGCAAGCTACCATACCTCATGCTCCTCCTCCTCGTCCTCCTCCACCTCGTCCTCATCCTCCTCCTCCTCCTCGTCCTCCTCATCCTCCTCGACCACACCATCAGCATCCCATCTCCTCTCCCGATACTCGTCCTCGACCACTCCGCCCTCCCCCTTTCCCTCTTCATCCCCCCTTCGTTCCTGCCGCACTCCTCATCATGCCTTCTCATCTCCCTCCACTTCACCCTCCTCCTTATCATCTTCCCTCTCCTCCTCCTCCTCCTCCTCCTCCTCCTCCTCCTCCTCCTCCTCTTCCTCCTCCTCCTCGTCTCCCTTGTCCCCCTAGCTCGAAGCCCTCAATCCATCTCAATCCTCCGACTCTTCACCTACTGCTGCTGTTCCTTCCACCTCACCGTTCCGTGGTCCTCCACGTCCTGCTCCGCCTCCTCCTCCTACTCCTCATCCTCCTCCTCCTCCTCCTTCTCCTCCTCCTCCTCCTCCTCCTCCTCCTCCTCCTCCTCCTTGTCTTCCCAATCAGCGGCCTCCTCCAAATCAGCGTCATCCATTTTGCCGTCCTCCTCCTGCCTGCGATGGCGACGACGACGTAGACAGTGTAGAAGATGATGACGACGACAGCGACGACGACGACGACCACGACGACGACGACGACGACGTAATCGGCGCCAACGACGACGTGACGACACGAGCAATCACCAGGAGCGAAGAGAGCGGCGGCGCGACCCGGCCAGTCGCCGAGAGCAGCGATGGGCTGCGAGGAACGGCGCCGCGCGGCGGCGGCGAGGCGGCGCCGAAGGGCCTTCAGCGCCAGGCACACGGCGCGCTGCCACGCGGGCGCGCAGGGGCGCAGCGAGGCGGCGGCGAGCAGCGCGTCCTCGGCGGCGCGGCCGTGCTGCTTGGCGGTGTGCACCAGGTGCCGCCACAGCGCGTCGAGGGCCATCAGCTTCACCGAGGGGTCGAGGAGGAGGATGAGGAGGAGGAGGATGAGGAGGAGGGGGAGGAGAAGGGCAACGACGACGAGGACGAGGACGAGGACGAGAACAACGACGATGAGGAGGAAAAGGAGGAGGAGGAGGAGGAGGAGGCGCGAGAAAGAGGGGAGGAGGAAGAGGAGGAAGAGGAGAAGGAGGAGGAGGAGGAGGAGGACGACCAGGAGAAGGAGGAGGAGGAGCAGAAGGAGGACGAGGACGAGGACGAGGACACGGACGAGGATGAAGACAACGACAAGGAGGAGGAGAAGGAGGAGGAGGAGGAGAAGGACGAGGACGAGGACGAGGATAACGACAATGCGGAGGAGGAGGAGGAGGAGGAGGAGGACAAGGACAAGCACAAGGACGAGGACGACGACGAGGACAACGACGAGGAGGACGAAGATGAGGACGAGGACGAGGACGACGACGACGACGAGAGCGACGACGAGAACGATGACGAGACTAACGACGAGAACGACGACGACGACGACGACGACGACGACGACGACGACGACGACGACGACGACGACGACGACGACGACGACGACGACGACGACGACGACGACGACGACGACTACGACGATAGCAGGAAAGGTGTCCAGGGCTCCGAGACTCGAGGGCTTCGAGGATCGAAATGTTCGAACGTTTGCGTCGGCCCAAGATTCCCAGCCTCGGGGTGCCTTCCGGCGGCTGCGCCTCGCCAGGAGCGTTCCCGAACGGGCCGCCTGAGGCCCGAGCTGTGACCCGAAGACACCCAGGGGTGGGCTCGGGGGGACAAAGGGCACAGGGAGGACAGGGTGGACGCAAAGGGGGGGGGGGGGAGGGATTGAGGGGGGAGCCGGGGCCAAAGGCACGGGGAGGGCGGAAGGTGCGCTCGCGCCGCATCGGACATCCGACCCCTCCCACCCATCCTTTCCCATGGCGCCGACGGTTTCTCTATCCGCAGGCTCGTGTCATGGCGGACCTGTAACTCTGAAGGAGACGCCCCGTGTTATGCGCAACCGGGGAAGGGAAGCTGCGTAAGGCGGCGGAAAAACATGAAACTGAGAAGGAGGAACAGGAGGAGGAGGAAGAAAAGGAGGAGGAGGATGATGAGGAGGAATGAGGAGGAGGACGAGGACGAACAGCAGCAGCGGGAACTGGAGTGGAAGGATCGGAAGGAACAGGAAGACCAGGGGAAGGCGGAGGAGGGGAAAGGAGGGCGGCGACAAGAATTAGGGGGGACTCAGACCCAGAGAAATGCCACGCGCTGGAACGAGAGCGCCATTCTGCATGACGCGAGCGAAGCGCCCATCTTAAAATGAGGCGACCGCTACAGTGGCAGCACCACTTTGAGATACCGAGAGTGCTCCGATTGAAAAAACATTTAATTCTGTGGAAATGCAATGCGCGGACGGGGCGTGTCACTCCCAGGCCGCCTTCGGGGAACAGAGGAGAGTAGTATCCACATTGAGTAACTGTCGAAATGGGGAGTGGAGAGTGAACAGGGGGTGATGAAGATGCTGCTGATGTTGATGATGATGATGCTATTGATGATGATGCTGATGCTGCTGGTGATGACGACGATGGTGATGATGATGTGGGTGATGTTGATGATGGTGATGGATCATGATGGATGATGATGGATTATGATGGCGATGGCAACGATGATGGTGCTGATCACGATGATGATGGTATATGATGATGGTGATGATGGAGGCGATCATGATGAGGGTGATGATGATGACGGTGATGATGATGGCGGTGATGAAAACTATGGTGACTATGGCGATGATGATGATGATGATGATGACGATGATGATGATGATGATGATGATGATGCTTTTCCAACGCAGGACTCACACCATTAATCCACACCCATAACCATCGTCCGTGAGCAACAGGGCCCCGACTCCGAAATCGGGGCCCACCAATGGCGAGACCGCGCGGGAGGGGGGAGCAACAGCAGCAGCAGAGGGGCAGCGAGGGGAGAAAGAGGGAGGAAAGGGTACTGGCTGAAGCCCTTCGGCCACAACTCCCCCTGGAACCACAGGCCGAGGTCGCCGCGGCACCTCGCGCGCGGGCGAGGGCGACCCACCCCGCCCCCCAACGGAAGGGGCAGGAGGCCCCGACCGAAGGGGGGGGGGCGCACTTGGCACAGGGGAAGGACTGCAATCGCCCGACAAGCGGGGGCCATGCCCCGCAGAGACTTGGACTGCTTGCGGGTCCGTCTCACCTGTGCTGACCCACAACCCAGGCACACAGGGCCAGGCAAGCATGAACGCGCCAACCACAGCAGCTCTCCAAGAGAACAAGCGGAGGGCACTTCAGGAATGAGACGAAAGAGGCGGATGCAGGCGGCGGCGGGCGGCGGCGGGCGGGGGCGGCGGGGGGCGGTCGCGCGCGCCGTCGCCGCGCCCCCTCGACCCTCGACCGCGAAAGGCGGAGGCCCCAACCCAAGCCGCACCACAGCGCAGCCAGCAGCAACAGCACAGCGGAGCACGCAGGGGACACGCACAGGGGAGGGACACACGACACAGCAACCGCAAGGGGGGCAAGGAGGGGGGGGGAGCAGTACCCGAGGGCCCAACACAACGACCCGCACCGCGAAAGCATCAAAACAACTAATCAACGGGGGAAGGGAAGGGGACGAAAGGAGAGAGCAATCACGCAACATCAGGCTGACTCACACGTTGAGGCTGGGTGGGTCTCACTCAACGGAATATCTCGGCAACCTTCCTGCAGCGGCGAACGGATAGCCGGAGTCGGGCATGGGCGAGGGCCTTGGGGCAAACCCTGGCGTTCAGTCGATGGCGGGCGTGGGTCTTCGCGAAAGCATCCAAGATAACTGCGCAAGCCAGATCGCTATCTTGCCCCCGGCACGGCCCAAGAAGGGACAGCATCGGGAACCAACCTTCCTCACCCTCGACCTGCTCCCGCCACAGTCCTGGAAGGTTCGAAACGCCTGGGGGGCCACCTAAGAGCAAGGGTCTCCAATTCAGGGCAGTACTTATAGCGGTGCATGTCATCCGAGCCCCCACACCTGAAGCAGCACCCCCGATCAACATTATGAAGCCCGACCGAGGTGCAAACTCCGCTGGGCAAAATCCAAATAATACCCGTGGTGAGGCGGGTGCCCGACGCCTTACCAACCGCCCGAAGCCGCGCGCGTAGCGCCAACATCACAAGGATAGAAACCTCAGACAACCACCTTCCAACGCGAGTCTGCAGGTGCGCCTACTGTCTCGCCTGATCCCAGAGTGGAGAATGTCGGCGGCGTCGTCGTCGGCGCTTCGAATCATGGGGCTCCTCCGCCAGACAGAACCAGTTCGCCCAGGGATAAAATCATCATCCAGAAGTCCCGCAGTAAGTTTCTCGAACACATATAGGGCACTGTCTAGCGCCCGACATTTCGATTAAACCCTGAACGTAGTAGCCCTATCCATAATCCCAATGTCAACGCATTCCAAAGATGCCCCAAGATGCCTCATCTGCGTGAGCACACAGTGGTTTAATGTATGTCTGGGACCCGCGGTCAGGATCTGTAGGGTTCCCCGATACTGACGAAAAATTGCAGGGGTGACCCTGACAAGCTGGATTCGACACTGCAAGACGGAGAAGCAATTCGAGTGGGAGGGTCGAATAGTGGTGGACAAACCAAGAGCGAGAGAGCGCAAAAGACGGACTCGCTGCCATAACTTAACCATAACTTCCTGCCATGCTACTGTGTGTGCCGTCGGGCCCACCCAGAACCATAAGCACAACGCATGAGTCGCAAACCGCATCGCCTGGAAACGGCTACCCTTCCGTCGCGCGTGCACCGACAGGCGCTCGCACGAGAAAGTACTGCAGACCAGAACATAGAACTTCCTGAGGTTCAGAGATAGACCAATGGCAGTGGACAGTAGACCGAGATGGAATAAAGTAGACATCAAATCCGCGGGCACGTTCTGACGGCCGAAGCAGCAATCATCTGCGCATGCAAGTTCCAGCTCTAATCTAGGAGTCCGCATGTACCGAATCCACCGTTAGACGGGGCCCAGGGCGAGCGAGAACACGGTCATCGAAGCTGGGCCCCCATCCACGGACCCCCCGCCCAACGCCGAGACTGATTTCAGAAGCCCCAGCGACATTCACCGCAGAAATATTGTCCACATACAAAGCCTCCTAGAAACCGATCACAGCCCTCGGAAACCCCATGGCCTGGGGGGCCTTCAAGATCCACACCGAGAAAATCCATGGAAAGGCAGCTCGGAAGTCAGCGAAGAGCACCCCCGCCTGATCGGGGCCCCTCGCGTGCTGCAGGAGACCCCGTTCCTCGACCTCAACGACGTCATCCAAGATATCCCGCCCTTTGATCCCCCCCCCCCCCGCCGTTATAGCCGCGCGCGGGGCGACGTCGTTCAGGCCAGCGCAGGAGGCGCCAGACCAGATTGTCGCACCCGTGCTAGCGAAGGAAAGGGGTCGAGTCGCCCCAGGCGCCCGCGAGACGAAAGCCCCCTGATCAGCTGGATCGCCACCCTTGGGCAGGAAGACCACGCGGCTAGTACGGCGCCCACTCGGCAGACAGTCCCCAGCGGAATCATAAATACGCCCATAGGCCTCGAATAAAACCTCGACCGCGTCAGGGGCCGCCCAGCAGCCACACGGGACCCCGCCGGGCCGAGGGGCAGAGTGACTTTTGCGCCGCACTCTTCGGGAGAATTCGCTATGGTCGAGACGCCACCGCGGAGGGCCAGGGCAAACCTCGCACCGCTGAACGTGCTCGAGAATGGCAGGCCAGCGCTGTGCATTGTGCTCCTGGCACGCGAACACCCGAGACCAGTGCGCCGCCGGGGTGCTGGCAGCGATATCGGGGCGCGGGCACGGCATGCCCCCTTCGCCCAAAACACCGCGGGGCCCCACGCGCCTCTTCATCAAAGCCCACCCCCATCCTCAGCGCAACCAGCCTCTTCTTCCGCCGATGCTTAACCTCCTCAACCTCACCGCCATG